GAACATGAACATGGCTCCAAAATGATTGTGCTCACTCAAAATGTATTTAACAACGTGGCTGCTCTGATCAGCATTTTCATGCTTGCCTACATGCATCTTTTATCAGTGTCTTAGAAACCCTCTGCTTTTTGGTCAATTAAATAGTCATTCTGCAACCCAATCTCAGTCTCTTAGAGGAACCTTTCCTAATGTTCTGCATGGGAACCGGTGAGCATTACTAGGCTAGAATTACTTTTGAATTACTAGGCTAGAAGCCAGGCTCAGGATCATTTTGCATAGCATACCTGAATTGTTCAGGCTTACTGCTTTGTGCAGGTGGATAGTGCTGGATAGAGTCAAAAAAGTTTTACTTAACTGCGCATTTTAGTACTTTTCTGAAACTTCTGAGTATTTGTGTATTGAATCAATTCCTGTCTTATTATTATTATTATTATTAGTCTTTGAATGACACTTGGAGACTTTCTAGTAAAGCATACTTCATTTATTTACTTAGCGTAGTGTTATTTCCATCCAGATCAGCTCTCTGGACTGACTCACTGCATGAGCTAATGGGAGTAAAGAAGACAGGACTACGACAGCTCAGATGTAAGATATTACCTGCTGCAAAACTGTACCATAAATAAAGTTATCCTCATGTTGCAGCTACAGAGGTCACTGACACAGAGCGTCCCTCAGGTGTTTCCACTCCCTCGTGCACACCCAGTGCTGCCTCATGTACAAGAGGCTGCCTTTATTTCATGCCCCTATAAAGGGATTGCAAATACGCTGCTGTTCAGAACCGAGCAGGCAGTAACGAGTGACATGCACATGTACCTGGCCCTTGATAGCCAAATGCTCTAGGGGAAGGACTCTGCTTTTGATTCCATAGTCTCAAACACGGTGGCAATGCTTAGCAAATCTCTAAATTATACTTGGCCGTAGCTGTGTGCCCTTTACAAAAGAAGTCGCCTCCACACCGTGTCCAAACACCACCTCAGCATCAGCACCGCACCTGGGTAAGCAGCACCCCATAAACATGCATTTAGTTGGGGAACACCAGGCCTCTTTATGCTCAGGTCTAACCAGCGGCCTTGTCAGGACCCTCCTGGCTCCATGCTCATGTTCATGGCCCGGGAGGGCACTCAAAGGCTCTGGGAATGCAGACCTAAGAGCACCCTGCTCCATGCAAAGCTCCCCCAGGACCTGACTGGGAAAACACCGCCAGGGATTCAAGGGCACGGGGTGCTGGGCTTGGCAGAGAGCGTTAGGCCTTGCAGGTAGCTCCTCATGTGACCCGGAGCCCACTGGGGAGCCGCGGCCCGCGGCGACCTCAGTGCTGGCCGGGACGGGCGGGAATGCCAGCAGTGCGTGCGGGGCCGTGGGCTGGCCAGGAGCACGGCCAGCCCTCTGGAATTCCTCAGGAAACGGGGGAACATTCCCGCCATTTGCAGAGCACTCCTTTCCCTGTGCTCCAGCGCTCGGCGCGAGCCCATCCCGGCGCTCATGGGGCGGCCTCTCCCCACATCACCGGGCGTGAGCGCCTGCCGAGGGGCTCCCGGCGGCCCCACGAGGGAGGATTCGGCCCCCACGCGTGGGGGAAGCCCCCCGGAGCAGCGGCTATGGGCCCTCCGCCAGGAGGGCAGGCGGAGGGGTGAAGGGTTTATGTTTCTGTTGTTTCGTGTTGTGGCCCTTGTTTAAGAAGAAATGTTGTGCAGACTTTCTCGTGCCGCGTGTGAGCTTTGTGAATGACTCCCTCGACCTTTTGTGGACATTTATCAGCCGCGTAGTAAACATGAAGATTGCTTATATGGAAAGTGAGCTCATGAAGGGAGAAAAAAATGGCTTGCTGCTTTGAAAGTACTTTCTCTGCTGGAAGCAAGGAGGAGGCAGCAGCTCCTAGTGCTCTATTGCCAGCAAGACCAATTAGAAACAAGACCACTTGTATGCACCAGGGAGAAACACTGGATCTCATTCTGTTATCCTGCACTTGCCTGGTGCAATCTCAAGTGGCAGAGAACAAGGTTGAAGCAGCACCTACTGGTTTTAATCCCCCCCTCACTTTTTTTTTTTTTTTTTATTTCGTGTGTGAGAGGCTGCCCTATTTTTAATCTTCCTTGTTATTTGGTGGGGGCCTGGGGCTGAAGCAGTGGAGGTCGCGTGAAGGAGGCAGCCCCGCGGGACGCGGCCCTTCCTGCTGCTGCTGCCGGGCGGGCAGGCCTGGCTGGGGAGAACGGTGCCTCACGGGACACCAGGAGGCACCTCGTCCTTCATGTCCAGTGGGCAAGAGCTGCCCGGGAACATGAAGTAGGGAACAGCCTTCTGATGTTTTCCAGGTCAGATGGGAATGCGGGATCCTGACCTTTGGAATTATGAAAGATCCCAGTGTGCTGCCTGCAGGAGTCACTGTGTTAGCCCCGGCATCCTGGCCAAAACGCAGTGCTGCTAATTGCATCCTGCCTGTGTGAAACCCCCTTCCCACAGCCCGCTCTGCCCCGCGGCCGCTCGGCCTGCAGGAGCGCTGGGCTCGCTCTGCAGCTGGCTGCTCTCCGCTTGTGCCGTGTCAGGAGCTTTCCGTCCTCCTCAACCAGCCCCTGTCACTTCCTATTTTGCACATCTGGTTGTGGATCCACGTAGAAAAGGGAAGCTGGGAGAAAATAAACCATTCACACCCTTCCAGGCTGCAGACTTGTTCCTTTCGCTTAATGACGCCCCTGTGCACTGCTTTTTTTTGCTGAGGCCTGATGAGAACAATTCTCCTCCATTTACCATCAATCCCCTTGACAAAAAAAAAAAAAAAAAGAAAAAAATCTGACTCATACCAGTAGGGAGGAACTGGCTGATGGATTTTCCCTGTATTCGGAAGAGGGGAAACAGGACGGCTGCAGCCCTAGTTACGGGATTCCAAAAATAAGAAGTAGCAAGGCATGTATGTCACATACTGAGGGATAATGAAATCACAGGTATTTAGCACAGGAAGGACTCAGAGGATCATCCGGACAATTTTCTTGTCAGCAAAGATGTCTCTGATAACGGCATTTTTCCTACAGTCCTGAATATGATATGGGAGCCCTGGAGAAAGCAGGAGGCTGCTCCTGCTGGTGCACAAACGCATCAGCAGCTCAGCAGGGCACTGCTGCAGCGAGACTCAGTTTCTCACATCCCTCTCTGATCTCTTCAGCATCTTAATCCCATAGCACAAGAGCAGTGAGCAGTCCCTGTCTCTCAAGAGGGGGGGAAAAAGTCCCAAGGTGAGGCCCAGATGGCATGTCAATATTTTCCACCATATCCCAGACGTATCCCTGGGATCCCAGGATCTATAGGTGGGACTTGAAAAAGCAGCGAATATGTGCTCTCTGTGGCTAAGATGGAAAACAGGGAATCAGAGGCCCACGTCCTCTTGCTACATTGCCCATGAGATTTCAAGCAAGGCACTTACAACTTTCTTAGACTCATTATCCCTGTCTTTAAACTGTATTTAGTACTTACTTACTTCACAGGGCTGAGAAGAAGGGGATTACGCTTTAATTCATTAATGTTTGTGAAACATTTTAGAACTTGGATGGAAATTTCCCAGGTTGTGGTGAGCACATTATAAAGCTTATCTCCCTCTCTGACTGCAACTGTTCCTGTAATACAGGAGAAACAAGCTAAACACTGCTTGGATTTCAGTGTTTATAATAATTACAAAAAACCCACTCTCATTCCTCTGTGCCCTTCTCTCCCTCCATATTAAAAAAAAAAGAAAGAAAAAAGAGAATCGGCAAAAAGTTAGTTTATCAGAGTGCTGTTGCTCCCTGGAGACTTGAATGTGTCTTGGTGGAATTTTCCCTGCCTGGAGCCTTTTGTGCTTCTGAAAGGTCCTGGATCCAGCCATGTGACTAAGAGCAAAAGACACTTCTGTGTCTGAGTGCTCCACCAAATATTTACAGGACAGCCGGATAAAATGGCTGCAAGCAAGTTCAGCAGAGTTTGCCTGCAGTGCAACGCTGGCAAGAAAAAAAAGCTATCCATTAGTTTAAACAAAATTAAGATCAAATGTAAAAAGGTTTTCTTCAGAAAACAAATATGGTAACACTGCAACTGGAGAATTGTGGCAATTCATTAGCATTTGAAGGTAGCTTATTGAAATCAAGCATTTTGCTCGTGAGGGTGACGTTCTTCTCGCTTTTTTCTCATGAAACAGAGTGGATAAAAGCCTAAGTGCAGGCCTGTACCTCGGTGCCTGCTGAGCGCTCTCCTCCCTGCCCTCGTGCTTGGCGGCTGGGAGCGGAGGGAGCTCCGATCCCTCCTGCCCCTCCACCTCTCACCGCTGCCGTACGGCTGTGTGGTCATTCCTAGCAGCAGCCACGTGCCCTGGGAGCTCCTGCTCCATCGCTCCAGGACGGGACACCCTCTGCAGGTGCCTCTCACCGCCTCTCCTCACCACCACCACACGTGGCCCCACTGGGCCTGATCGCCTTGCTGGGGTAACGAGTTACTGTAACATCATTGTGGGCATCTCCTGTTTCTGGACAGCATCTCCGAATGTGTCTCTCGAGCTGACGGCAGAGCGAAGAGAAGCGATGGAGATCAGTCCTGCATGTGAGGACGGGGAGCTGGGGGCAGCTTCACCCTGCTCGCCGCGTGGCCGGCGGTGCCCTCGGTGGCCTTGAGCGAGTGCCACGTTGGGCAGGTCTGCACGGTGAGGAAACAGTGCTGTGGTTTTGAGTCATGCTGTGAAAACTTGAGTGCTTTGAAGGAGGGAGCTAAGCAGCTGTGAGGCACTCCAGTCTTCCCACCACGTGGATTACTGCTCATTCCCTTTAATTCTGCATTGTCAGAGCTCTGCTTTTAGCACCTCTGTTACACAGAGGGCTAAGGGCCCGTGGAGCTGCTGCTTCTTAATCAGGCTAATGCAGGGACTGTATGCCTGTTAAATTAACTAGAACACAATTCAGAACTTTCCCAATTTCTGATTTTAATATGGACTCTCATGTACAGAAAACAACACTTACTTTCCAAGTAGCCTGTAATGAGACAAAAGAAGAATGTCCTCTGACTGCTTCACTGGATTTTTGAAAAACAAAACCAAAACAGTGCTGTCATTCATTCATTCATTCATTCATTCCTTAGTCTAGGTTGCAATTGTCTTTCTATAAACTGGATGCATTGCTAGGAGTCTCTACAGTAGTTCTGGGCAAAGCAGCATCAGGTAAAAGATCTTTTAAGGCAGTGTTCCTCACTTTTATGTTCTGCAGGGCAGGGTTGGTTCCTTCCCAGGTTGGATTTGTTTGGTCCTTTCCATCTGAAACACACAATCAAAAAAGACACTTCAGTAAGGTGACACCATTTGTAAGAAGGAGATCATAAGGTTACCATTTCCTCCTGTGAGCTGCAGGTCAGAAACCAGATTAATCCATAAAGCAAATGAATCCATAAGCTAATATTCCATACTAGCTGAAAATGGATTTAAGTATATGGAGCAGTCCTCTTTCTAGCAGCTTCCTGGCTGTTCCTGTCGCAATTGCCCAACTTCTCCTTCACCCTCACCTGGCTATCAAGGTTTCTGATGCTACTCAGGCTCTGCAGCCAAACCCTACAATGTGGCAGAGCTCTCCAAAGGCCAGTGGATCCTTGCTGAGCACCTTGGCATCACCCTGTGTTCCTATTTAAGCTGTCCTTTTGACAGTCAGCTCCTATGGATAGCGAACAGGATGCTCAAGAGGAATGTCATTTTCTACCTCAGCTCATTTTCTACAGTGGAAGCACATTCCCTGGAGTTAAACAGAGCACAAAACGCACAAATGTACTTTCCAACTTCTAGCAAACTGTCTTGGATTCAGACATACATGTCCATCCTATATCCTCTCCTAATACTGCTGAGGGCAGAGCCTATATCCCAGCCACTAAGAGCTGCTCAACATCTAATCTTGGTCCCATATCAGCGCCAGGCTGGAAAGTGCTCCAAGATGAAGTTTACTGTGTAAATACAGGATATTATATTACTGTGTTTAGACACATTATGTAGCAAATGGACCGTTGCTCATGGGAGAGGACATGAAAAAACAAAACCAAGGTGTCCTTTCACGTCCTCCTGTTCTATTGCAAGCTGATGGAAAAAGCACAAACCGAAGCAACACACACCAGTTATCAGGACCAGGATATCCAAGGTAATATCCTACTGTTCAGTGTCCAAGCTTTGAAGTGAGTCAATAAAACTGGAAGGAGGAGGGGGAAAGGGAAGGAGTTTCACTGCACCAGATGATGTTGTTAGTGTTAACAGAGGTGATACTGCACAAGGGTCCCTTGGACGGATGTGAGGTAAAAAAGGTTGTTTTCTTCATGGTTTACACAGGTTGTCAAGGTAAGCTCAGTGTCCTCCTCTTCTCTAGCTCTGTTTAATGCTCTAAAGACCAATTGCCCTGGAAATGAGCTGCTAGTCTAGCTGCCTTGGTCTAACTATGAGTCTCACTATGATGGTAAAGATAATAAGCCCAGTGCAGATGATGATAGAACAAAAAGCACTTTCCCCAAAACGCCTTTGACAACTTTCTCCAGTAAAATATGCTTTTTGCTTTGCTTATGCTTCACACTGACCAAAGCACTTCTAAGAATATTTTAAATAATCTTGGTATCTACTGTAGATTTTCTACAATATTGTTAAAAATAATATCCTTAAATAATACTACAGTTTTATTACAGAGAACATCCAGAAACATCCCAGAAACATCCCAGAAACATCCAGAAACATGCCCAGAACATCCAGAAAGTCCTGTGTATGAGATTTACAGACTAAGGAATCACTGCAATTGTCCAAACTCTGTCTAACTCTGGAAAAGGGCTGGCTACAAATGTATCTGATTTTGCTTTTAAGCACAAGGCTAAGGAAGGGAGAAAGTGAGCAAAGTCCTTTCAAAGCAAAAGCTCTTAACTAGTCTTTGTATTTTTCTCCTATTAAAAAAAAAAAAGACAGCTCAGAACCCTACAAATAAGAAAAAATGAGGAAAATAACTTTTAAAATTTTGATAAACCCTCTCAGCAACTAGTTCAGTGATCAGCTACTAGTAAAAGGAACAGAAAACACCACGTCTTGAAGAATATTCAGGCATTCAGCAATGATGATGTGCTAGCCTTTAAAATATTATCATTCTCTGTTAGTGCATTAGAGATAATGTAAAATATTTTTATGATTTTAGCCAACTACATTTGGGGCCTGAGATAACCCAGGAAAGAAGCATTTTTTTAATATGCTATCTCTTTTTTGCTCATTTGTTTTTTTTCTGTTAAACCATGATGTTTAAAAAATCACAGGCATCTTGGAAGCATGTTTAAAAACACTGTTTTTTGAGCATCATCTCTCAGGAATTCTGGGCCAAAAGGACTTCAGATCCTATGAAGTAGCTGGTCAGAAGTATCATCTGTAGGATCATCTATAGTATCATCAGTGCTTTTTTTCTGAGCTTTGGTAATGTCCATTTCCCCAGGACATGGTGTGTACAGGAAGCCTAAGAAGTAAGTTTAGCTGAAGGACAATATAATCCATCCATAATTACAAATTATAAAAAAGCCTGACACAGCTTTTTAGCACGGGTTTTCTAGAATAGCTCCTAGTTATTAATAGCTACTGAATAATTCCAGTTGATTTTACATGGAGCAATTACTACCGATTGTATCCGTACATGAAGTAGGCTGATGCTTTACAGAATTGTCTTCCTTTACAAGCTCTGATTCAATCCCTTTTATTTTCTCTGACTGATTCAACTGGTGGAACTGGCCTAAGTGATTCTAGGCAAGGGCACGTCACCCTTTGCTGGGGCTAGCAGCAACTGCAGAGTTATTTGTGGTGCCCGCATGCAAAACAACATTCGTTGAAGAAGTTTGAGGGGGATTTCCCTGCTTTATGTAATCTGTAGCAGCCTCGCAGCTTCCTCTATTCACGTGGCCGCGAGGCCGGAGCAGGACACCGCTGGAAATTTCTCAGACGTTGAAAGCAAAGACACAATGTGCTCGGTGACCTACAGGGACCTTGCAGCTTTCGGTAAATCCTCGAACTGTGGGTCAGAGATGTCTGGAATGAGGGAGGCCTGAAGGAGAAGTGGGGGGAAGTACCTCCGAAAGCGGGAGGCTTTCCGCACGGGCCCTCACGTAGCAGCAGGCCCTACCAAATCCCCCGTTTCTTGTTTTTCATCCCATGCAGAGCATGGATCCCATGCAGAGCATCACACAGGGATCTGTGCCTTCCCCAGAGCTCTAAGGCCCCCCTGGTAGACCACCAGTCACACTGCCCAGCATTTCTCCACTATTGCCAAGTGCAGGAGAGGAGGAAAACTCTTCTTATTCACGGGCTCAGCCAGATCTAGTCCCACTACAGATACTCGTTGAGATGCTGGCCTGGACTGGTGGAAGCTTTAGGTAAAAAACTGTCCTCCTCGGGTAGGAAAAAGCTGCTGGTTCTTGGTTGGCAGCTCACGAAGAGCTTGGTGCTGTGACGACCAGGCGAGCTCATTTCATGCCAGCCTGAGCATCTACCTGGATATAAACATACTGTGCTGAACAAGTTGCAGGTTGGGTGTCCCAAATGGGAAGATTTACAATCGAGTGATGTGCAGATTCCGAGAAGCCTGCTTACCCAAGCCACAGCGAAGGGGAATTCGGCAGGTGAAGTAAGCCTGGTGGCACCAAGGAGGAAGGAAATCTCTCTGCAGCCTCCTGATAAGAGCACGCTCGATATACACTGTGTTCACTATGGACACGCTGCTGCCAGGAAAACATGGACTAGCTGAAGGAAATGCAACTCAGAGCAGACCCTGGGGACTGAATCAGTCTGTTAAAATGCTTTGTTGGCTTTATTTATCGCTATTTAATTAAGGCGCTTAACCAACACAGTGGAAAGATGGCAACTTTGTTAAATATTCAGCAGGCTGACCTTTCAGCTCCAGTATGGCAACTCTGGATAAAGTTCATGGAAGCCTGTCCTAGGTACTCTGACAAAGCCAATGGGAACTGGACTGGACTAATAAGGAAAGAAATAAAAAGGAGTAAGGCACTATGGAGCAGAACCAGGTCTTGCTGCTAATTCCAGGTCTAATTCCAGGTCTTGCTGCTGGCTTGTTGAATGATCCTGGGCAAGCTGTTTCATGCCTGTCCTGTGCTTCAGTTTTCCCATCTTTAAAAAGAGTACAATGACACTGACTTTCTTTGCAAATCACATGGAGATGAACGCATAGAAAAGCAGTAATATATTATTAATTACTTATGATTATCTCTGAGGAAGAAAAAGGAAATGGAAGAAGTCACAGATCTTTCAGGTTTTCTTGAGCCTTACAAAAAAATAAAGAAGCACCACATAATATGAGTGTCATGCAAAAAATGCTTTCCAAGTCACCTTTAAGAAGAAACAGGAGGAATATAATTAAAAAAAAAAACCAACAAAAACGTTAAAGGCAGGCAGACACTCAGGAAAGCCCTCCAGATGGTGAAAGGAGTTAGGCTGCAGAGCAGACTCCCACAGGAAGCGGTGAAACCCCCATTGTTTGAAACATTTGAAACGGAATTCTTCAAAGTGTCAGTCCGTGTGAGGCAAGGAAGCATCCCGGCCTGCCTCGGAAAGGTGGCAGCTCCGCAAGGATGTGCGAGGGCTACGCCGGCCTTCTGCGCTTTTAAGGGAGGTCTTGCTGCTCTGCCTCCTTGGCGCTGCTCCTTTTACCAATGTAATTGCTGGGGAACATCTCCTGAGCAGCAGGCAACACGGTGCCTTTGCAGGAGACGGACTCAGGAACTCAGAAATAGTCTTTTTTCTGTGCTTGCGTAGCATAAATCCTGACTTTGTATGTCCAAAAGGGAAAATAAAGCTCCCTCTCATGATTCCTGTATGCATCCTTCAGACTATTTCCTACACTACAATCTAATGAAAAACTGGGTGGCTTGATTTTTACAAGCAGCGGTTTGCAGAAGAAATACCATGGTTTTAATGGGAACCAAATGAGAGATCATTACGTAAATGGCATTATGAGACACAGAGCTGATGCTTAAATGCTAAATGCTCTAGGTCAAAACTCCCCAAATTGGGAACTGGCAGGAATGCTGGGGTTTCTCCGCTCTCCGATACTCCTGCAAACATTCCCTTCTGTTGCTAATGTGGACTGGGCTCCTCGGGATGGAGCTGTGCAGAGCCTGACTGCGCCCGTTGTTACCGGCACTTACAGTCTTATGACCTGCTCAGGGCTTTGGGCCACTTTTATTGATACACTTTGGTTTATTGGTTGGAGCAGGTAGAGGGAAGAAAAAAAATTAAAAGGAGCCTGG